TTTTTTTTTTTTTACTTAATGCCCTTTATCAGGTTGAGGAGCTTCTTTTCTATTTTAAGTTTGTGAAGAGTTTTTAATCATGAATGTATATTGAATTTTGTCAATTATTTTCTGTACCAACTGGAATTAACTCATGATTTTTCTCCTTATTGTTACTATGGTGAATATAAATTGATTTTCAAATGTTAAATCAATCTGTATTACTGGGATAAACTCCACATGATCGTGGTATACTGCCCTTTTTATATATTGCTGGATTCAGGTTGCTAATATTTTGTTAGTGATTTCTGCATCTATGTCTATGTAGGATATTGGTCTGTAGTATCTCTTTATTGTTTCTGTCAGGGGTTGATATCAGGTTAAAAAGGGCCTAATTAAATGAGTAGAGAAGTATTCTGATCTCCTGCATTTTTGGAAAGAATATGTGGCCCATCCTGGTGAATGTTCCATGTGCATATGGAAAAAAAACCACGCATTTTACAATTGCTCAGTGGACTGTCATATGTCAACTGGGTCATGTTTGATGTAGGTGTCTTTGATATCATTCTGAACAACTTCTGCTTTTTGTGTAGCATTTCTAGACCATTTAAATTTACTGTACTACTTACATAGGTTTAATTCTACAGGTATTTGTTTACCTATATTCATAGCGGCATTACTCACAATAGTCAAAAGGGGGAAGCAACTCCAATGTCCATCATTAGATGAATGGATAAACAACATATAGTATCTATATACAATGGAATAATATTCAGCTCAAAAAAGGAATGAAATTCTGATACAGTCTACAACATGGATGAACCATGAAGACATTATGCTGAGGGAAACAAACCAGACACAAAAAGAGTAAATACTGTATGATTCCACTTCTATGACGTGCCTAGAGTAGTCAGATTCACAGTGACAAAAAGTAGAATGGTGGGCACCAAAGACTGGGGGAAAGGAGAAAATGTAGAGTTATTTTTCAATGGGCATGAAATTTCAGTTTGAGAAGAAGAATAAAGTTCTGGAGATGAATGCTGCTGATAATTGCAAAGAGTGAATGTTCCTAATGCTACTGAACTGTATGCTTAAAAATGGCTAAAATGGAAATTTTTATGTTATGTATACTTTACCACAATAAAAAGAGAGGATAATTAAAAAATAAAAATCAATCAATGTAATAAATCATATTAACAGAATCAAAGAGAATAACCATAAAAATAATCTCAATAGATGAAGAAAAGATATTTGACAAAATCCAATAACATTCATGATAAAAACTCCCAGCAATCTAGGAATAAAAGAGAGCTTTTTAATCTGACCGCAGACTTCTATAAAACCTTACAGCTAATATCATATCTAATAGTGAAAAACTGAATGCTTTCCCTTAAGACCAAGAACAAGGCAAAGTTGTTCACTTTACCAGTTCTACTCATCATTTACTGTGGAGGTTCCTTGCCAGTGCAGTAAGGTGAGAAAAAACAAAGGCTTACACATGAGAATAGAAGAAACAGAAAGGAAAGATTGTTTATGTAGACAACCACAATAAGTTTACAGTAAAGATGATAGAATTGATAAGTGTGTTTAACAATGTCATGTAAAGTGCACAGTTGATATACAAAATCAATTGTATTTCTATGTATCATCAAAGAATAATTTGAAATCGAAATAAGAAACAACTAGCAATAGCACCAAAAAAAAAAAATCAAGAAACCCTTAGGTATTAATTTAATAAAATATATGCAAGATCTAGATTGAAAACTACAGGCCAGAAAGGTGGTTCACACCTGTTATCCCAGCACTTTGGGAGGTGGAGGCAGGCAGATCACTTGAGGCCAGGAGTTTGAGACCAGCCTGGCCAACATGGTGAAATCCCATCTCTACCAGAAATAGAAAATTAGCTGGGTGTGATGGCATGTGCTTGTAATCCAAGCTACTCAGGAGGCTGAGGCAGGAGAATCACTTGAACCTGGGAGGTGGAAGTTGCAGTGAGCAACAAAAATAAACAATGGGGAATGAAAACCCTATTCAATAAATGGTTCTGGGATAACTGGCTAGCCATTGATAGACAAATGAAACTCGACCCCTACCTTTCACCATATACAAAAATTAAACCAAGATGATTTAAAGACTCAAATGTAAGACGTCAAAGTATAATATCCATAATCTATAAGAGGCTTTAATAAATCAAAAAGAAAAAACCACACCATTAAAAAGTGAGCAAAGGGCATGAAAAGACATTTCTCAAAAGGCATACACGTGGCCAACAAACATGAAAAAATACTCAACATCACTAATAATCTGAGAAATGCAAATCAAAACCACAATAAGATACCATCTTACATCAGTCAGAATGGCTACTATTAAAAAGTCAAAAAATAACAGATGTTGGTAAAGTTGCAAAGAAATGTGAACATTTATACACTGTTGGTGGGACTGTAAATTAGTTCAGCCTCTATGGAAAGCAGTTTGGTGATACTCAAAGAACTACTAATAAAAATAGAACTATCACTTGACCCAACAATCTCCTTCCTGAGTATATACCCAGAGGAAAATAAATTGTTCTACCATAAAGACATATGCATTTCACAGTTATCACAGTACTATTAACAATAGCAAATTCACTGAATCAAATTAGATACCCATCAATTGTGGACTGGATAAAGAAAATGTAATACATATATACCATGGAATAGTATGCAGCCATTAGAAAGGATGAAATAATGTACTTTGCAGCAACATGAATACATCTGGAGGCCATAATCCTAAGTGAATTAACGCAGAAACAGAAAACCAAATACTGCATGTTCTCCCTAATAAATGGCAGCTAAATATTGAGTACACATGAACATAAAAATGGGAACAACAGACACTAGGGAGGGTACCATGTTCACTATTTGGGTGACAGGTTCAGTTGAAGCTCAAACCTCAGAATCATGCAATATCCATGTAAGAAACCTGCACATGTAACTTCTGAATCTAAAATTAAAAAAAAAAAAAAAAAAAAAAAAAGAAAGAAAAAGTAAAGTGTACTTGTAGGCATAGTGGTGTGTGTTTGTACCCCAACTACTTGAGAGGCTGAGGCAGGAGGACGGCTTGAGGCCAGGACTTTGAGACCAGCCTGGGCCACAGAGCGGGACCCCCATCTCTAAAAAATAAATTACACCTGTGCGCTCCTGGCTTCTAGTTCTTCCCTGAGAATGATGAATTTTACTTGCACGGCTATCTCAGTAACTTCATTCCAGGTCCTTGCTTTACTCCAGCCTAAAGCAGCAGCTCCATCAATACTTATACTCATGCATGTTTTTTTCTCCTGTGAATCATTGTTTTTATTAAGCGGGCCATTTACTGCTGAGGCTATATTGTCTCTAGTTTATCTTTGCTTTGGGGACTAACAAAAATTAGGAAGTATAGTCTTTCTGTCATAAGCGAAGACATGCTAAAAACATTTGTAACATCCATTTGGCAGTCTAGTACCTGCATACTTTGTCCAAATACATGTTCCTTCAGCCATGCTTTCTGTTGGCTTTCCAATAATGTATTCTGATGAAGAAATATATTTTAGCTCCTTGCCAGATTGTTTTTTATTCTGCTAACGTTTTAATTACAGACATTTTTATCACAATGGGAAGAACAAGTGATTTCCAATGGTACATAAGTTTCTGCTTTTGCTATTAAAAAACCTCAAAAAAAATTCAAAACACTTATCATTAAATTTAAAGAAACTTTGGAAAGCCCTGGATTAAGTATAACACAACTTTAAATATTTCTGGAAAAACTACACAGGTTTGTCTGAGCATTTGATCTTTATATGCTCTGCTACTTGGGATAGCTTCATATTATATAACCTAGTATCTTAAGACTAATCTATGTCCAAGGTAAGGTTCTTCATTTAAAAAAATTGGGCAAATCCATGTTTCAAATAGTCTTTTGGATTAAGTCAAATCCTGAGACTGGGAAAGGGTCAGTTTTGACACTTTCTTATTGTATCCCCTGCTTGTCTCCTTATTACTATTGTCATTTGGTAATTAATTTTTCTAAGATGGCTGTATTATTCTTTTACAGCTTTATTGAGGTATAATTGATGTATAATAAACTGCACATATTTCAAATATAAAAAAAATTATATGGGCCCTGCCTAATCAAGAAAAAAATTTTCAGAAAGAAGTTGGCAGAATAGTATCAAGGCTTGTTACAAAACCTCAGTAATCAAGACAGTTGGCACTAGCTAAAGGATAAATAAATAACTCCATGGATGAAATAGAAAATGCAGAAATAGACACATCTATAGTCAACTGATGTCTGACAAAGGTGCTAAGGCAATTCAATGGAAAAAATAGTGGTCATTTAACAAAATGGTGCTGGAAAAATTAGATTGCCATATAAAACACGAAATGCTTATCTATACAAAAATTAATTCAAAATGTATCATAGACTTTAATGTAAAACCCAAAACTGTAGAACCCTAAACTTCTAGAAGAAATCACAGGAGAAAATATTCTTGGCCTCAGGTGAGGCAAAGATTTCATTCATACAATGCTAAAAGCATGATATATAAAAGAAAAAATGATAAAACTGGAATTATTAGAATTAAGAATATGTGCTCTTTGAAAGGCACTGTCAAGAGAATGAAAAAACAAGCCATAGACTGTGAAAAAATATTTGTCAATCACATATCTGATAAAGGACTTGTATCTATGATACATAAGAAATTCTTAAAACTAAGTAATTTTTTAATTTAATAAATTCCAGGCAAAAAGATATAAATAAGAGTACACCAAAGAAGATATACAGATGGCAAATAAGTTCATGAAAAGATGACCCAGGTCATTAGACATTACAGAAATAAAAATTAAAACCACAATGAGATATCAAAACACACCAATCAGAATGGCTCACATGTAATGAAACTGACAACAGCGATGGCTAGAGATGAGGAACAGCTTGAACCCTCATACACTACTAATGAGAATGCAAAATAGTATAGCCACATTGAAAAATATCTTGGCAGTTTTTTATAAAGCCAAATCTATACTTAAATACAAAATGGTACAGCCACATTGAAAAATGTCTTGGCAGTTATTTATAAAATCAAATCTATACTTATAACCTATCAATCCTGTCCAAGGATGTACTTGACAAAAAGTTTATGTTCTCAGATTTGTACATGAATGTGCATGTGAATTAATATTGCAACTTCACTCATACTGCTATAAAGTAAAAAGGACTCAAATGTCTTTTAACTAGTTAATGCAAAAAGATACATCAATATGACAGAATTCTAGTCAGCAATAAAAAGGAATAAACTTACTGACTCATGCAAGTACACAAGCAAATCTCAAATGTATTAAGCTATGTTAAATAAAAAAGCTGCCTTTTGCTTCTAGTCAAGATGGAGCAACAGGGACAAATTACATAAAACAACAGTCTTCAAGACAATGGACACTGAATAATGAAACACTAAGGTCTCAGAGAATGTTAAATAAGTGAAGGCTGCCCTCACAATTGCCCCAGATTACTGCTTTGAATTTTGGTTGTGCCCCAGGCAGGGAATCCTGTCAAAACCCCACTGACTATATAAATTAAGAAGATGGTGCTGGGAGTCTAGGGAAAGCAAGGTTACGTAAGTTCACAGTTCAGAGAACCAGTTGGGTGACAACTACATAGAGGGCAAACCCTAGAGGATTGGCAGAGGCCCCCTTTCAAGAAAAGGAAGTTCTGCAACTTGATAAAGGCATCTGTGAGAAAAACCTACAAACAACATATTTAATGGTGAAAGACTGAATGCTAAGGTAAGGAACAACACAAGAATATCCTTTCTAATCTTTTCTATTCAAGTGTATTGGAGGTTCAACCAAATTGTCTGGAAGTCCAGAGATTCTGTGCTGTACTGTGAGTTGATCTGAGACACTTCTTGAGTCATGAATGATAGAGCATTAGAGATATATGGAGGTTTAAAGGGTAATGAACTCAGTATTTTAATTTTATAGATGAAAAATAGGGAGGTAAATGCCTTTGCCAAAATGACCAAGGTAGTAAATGACCATTGCAGAGCATGGATGTAACCTAGGTCTTGATGCTGGAACAGGGATAGTACCATCCCTTGTCTATTATTTTATGAAGCTTACTTTGAAAGTTCTTGATGAGGAGCTCCCGTGGCCTGAGAAAGAAATGTTGAGTAGTTATGAACAATTATTAATTCTAAAAGCAATAAAAATAGGTATGACATTTTATACTGAGATATTTAGTATTAACAGTGTTAATGACAGATAGGTATGGTCTAATATACCTAAAAAGTAATTTTTATCTAACTCTCTTCTGAGGTTTTATTCTTCTATTTTAATGAGTACATATGATAAATAAAGCTTAACTGGATCAGGGTCTTTCTGCCTCTTCCAACTATATTCTGCTTTGTATGTATTTTAGGGTTCTCATAAAAAATGTTTATTATACCATTAACATGAAACAAGCTTAAACTTATCAAAAACAAGAAAAATAAAAATGAAAGATAAATACAACAATCTGAATTATAGAGAGACAAATATGAGAGGCTCTACAGAAGAACTACAAATACAGCCATGAATTAAAGTTTCACTGAAACTTTGTAACATCACCCAGTAGTTAGTACTATACTATCTCCCACAGCTGACACTTTGTCCAAGAATCTTCTATATGTTGTTTGTTTGTTTGTTTGTTTTTTCCCTGTGAGACAGGGTCTCACTTTGTCACCCAGACTGGAGTGCAGCGGCATGATCTCAGCTCACTGTAATCTCTGTCTCCTAGGTTCAAGCAATCCTTCCACCTCAGCCTCCCGAGTAGCTGAGATTACAAGTGCGTGCCACCATACCTGGCTAATTTTTTGCATTTTTGGTAGAGACGAGGTTTCACATTGCCTAGGCTAGTCTAAAACTCCCGAACTCAAGTGATCTGCCTGCCTCAGCCTCCCAAAGTGCTGGGATTACAGGTGTAAGCCATTGCACCTGGTCGAATCTTCTGTATGTTTGAAAACAATTGATCTGGTCTGCTGTTCCATGTCTTTCTTCTTAAAATGGACTATTTTCAGCAAGTCAGCAAACTTCCCGAAATACCTGTTCCTTAAACATACTTACACACTTTCAATTTGAAATGCATTCATTCAACAAATGTTGATTGACCTTGTATTTACTTTACATAAACTATTGAGCTAGGCCCTGAGAATACAAAAGTGAATAAGGTAAGGATCCTATCCTAAAAAATCTTCAAGTGTAGGGCAGAGGGTGCAGATAAGTAAACAATGTACCCCTTATAGTGTGTTATGTGTCATGACTGAAGGAGGTCCGAAGTGAGATGAAAACAGAAGAAAGGAATATCTCACTTATCACTGGGGGTTTGGAGCTGAATCAGAAAAAACTTACAAACAGAAGCAATGCCTACTCCAAAACTTGAATAAAAAATAGGAGTTTGTCAAGTTATAAATGATGTAGGCAGTGTAATATAATATTGAGTAAAAATCTGGAAGCAGATAATTTAGGTTCGAATCTGGGTTCTAGCTGCTATTTGCATTTAGGAAGCTACTTAAATCACTCAATTTCATTAGGAAGAATTAGAAGAGAATTTATAATTTCTCACTACAATATCTACCCATCTACCTGCATTTATGCCCACAGACTCTTTTTCTGCTACACTATTGATGAATTTTCCATGCTTTTGCTCAAAGGCCAACTCTTCCACCTGTGTACTAGGTTCTCCTCATCTTGTCTTCTCAAGGACGTCCTCTTTCCTGCAATTCTTCTCTCTGACAGGAACTTTTCCAACACTATTACAAAATTCTCTTCTGTCTTTAAAACAAAACAAAGTATTTCTTGACTCCATTTTCCTCTCCAAGTACTGCTTCATCATTCTCCTTTTCTTTACAGAGAAACTCCTCATAAACACTTTCTATTCTCAGTCTCTCCAAATTCTCTCTTGCTATCCTTTTTTTAATCATGTATTTGCTCCTACCACTCTACAGAACTATTTTTGTGAGAAATCCCTCTTCTTAAAGCAGAGATAATTTTCAGTCCTCATTTGACATTTTGATTACTTCTTCCTCTTTGATATTTGGCTTCTATGACACTTTTCTTCTTTTCTCCTACTACTCTGGCAGCTCCTTTTTGGTCTCCATTGCCTCTAACTAAACTATGGAGCATCCTAAGGGTGAGTGTTTGAATTTCTCATTTTGTATTTACACTAATTCTGTTTGTGATCTCTTCAGTCTCATTGCTTTATATGCCATTTATTTGCTGGCAACTCCTAAATTTTATCTCCAGTACAGATATGTCCACTAAATTCTTAGCTCACATACAATTTAACTTGGATGTCTAATAGGCATCTCAAACTTAGCATGTCCAAAATTGATTTCATCTTTCCACCCCTAACTTGCTCCTTTCACAGTCCTGCACATGAATATTAACAGCAACTCCTTTTTCCAGGTGAGACCAAAACAGCTTAAGAGTCATTATTGACTGCTTTCCTCAGATGTTCCACATCCAATATGTCATCAAATTCTGTTGGCCCTACTTTTATAATAGATCCAGAATGCAACTACTTCTTTCCACCCCCCACTATTACTCTGGCCCAAGTCACAATTAATCTCTTGCCTAAATTATTACAAGAGCTTCCTGTCTCCATATTTTGCCTATGTTCCCCTAAGTCTATTTGCAATGCAGCAGCCATAGTGATCCTGTTAAATATACCTCAGGACTTATGACTACTCTTTTCAAAACCTATAATGGCTTCCAGTCTCACTAAGAGTAAAAGCTAGAGTCTTTAAAATAGGCTACAAGGCCCCACAGATTGACAATCCTGTTAACTCTGTAAACTTATCTATTACTTTCTCTCTCATTCTATCCCAGTCACACTGGCTTCCTTGCTGTTCTTTAAACATCTGAGCATGTTTCTGCCCATTCCTGCCTCAGGGCTTTTGTGCTGCTCTCCAGTAATGCTCCTCAGATAGTTAGCTGCAAGACTAGCTCCTTATGTTTTTATTCAGAAGTCATCTCAGCAAAGCCTTTTCTAAACACTATTGAAAACTGCAAAATTCTCCCCAACACTCCCTATGCCCTTTCCCTGCTTTATTTTCTGTGGCCATTAACATACAATATAGTCTAGTTTTTTATCTGGTGTATCATCTTTCTCCCACCCCAGAACATAAGCTCTATGAATGTAGAGGTCCTTAATAATTACCTATAAAATAAACAAAAAGGGCATATTGTTTAATCTATATTGTGGGAGAATACGCAACTTACAGGTACCAGAATCCTGCTACTAATAATTGACAAATATAATATTCACCTGAACACAAAAACACTTAATTTACTTTTTCATGGTGTTGAGTTCTTATTTTTCACATTTAATTAATGTGTACCACCATAAAAATAATTTTTGTTTAGTGTTTGGTTGATACATTTGTTTTAAATATATGTTCCATGGGAGAGCTATGCAAAATTACTAGATCAGGACAGCCATAAAAAGATCAGAACTTCATTCAAACTTTCTGAAAGTCTCAAAGGCTGAAAAATGAGTCATTGCCTACTCATTTATTTATGACTTTATTTCTATAAACATCTTAATTCTATACTATTATTGGAAAAAATGATAAAAACAGACTCATTATAAGAAGGTGCAAGAATTATCTAAGAATTGTAAATGTAACTTATAACACTGGAGAGTCTGCTAAAAGGAGAAAGCTCAATTGCCCCTCCTACAAGTTGCCAATTTATGTTCTGTATTTCTTCAAAAACACTTTTGTATCTACTTATTTTTATGTTCTATTTCTCGTAGTTCTAGTATCTTCATAGCTAGTAAGCAGAAATGGAAAAATATTTTTACTGAAATAATGTTTACATTCACATGCTGGCATAAAAGTAACATAATGCCTATAGCTACCACATGTAAGGTATCATGCTATGTCAGCCAAGAGGCAATGAGCCTACTGTTTCCTCATGTATGAAGCTATATAACCCAGGTCAATTAACTAACCTTTTTAGGCCTTAAGTGCTCCATCTATTGGGTGATATGGTTTGGCTCTGTGTCCCACTCAAATCTCATTTTGAATTGGAATCCCCACGTCACTGAAGGAGGGAGGTGATTAGATCATGTGGGTGGCTTCCCCCATGTTGTTCTTGTGAAGTGAGTGAGTTTTCATGAGATCTGATGGCTTTATAAGTGTTTGGAAGTTCCTCCTTCATTCTTTTCTCTCCTGCTGCTATGCCAAGAAGGTGCTTGCCTCCCTGTCATTTTCTGCCATGATTGTAAGTTTCCTGAGGCCTCCCCAGCCATGTAAACTGTGAGTCAATTAAACCTCTTTCCTTTATAAATTACCCAGTCTCGAGTATTTCTTGATTTTCATCTTTTTTTGTTTTTTGGGTTTTTTTGAGATGGAATTTTGCTCTTGTTGCCCAAGAGGAGTGCAATGGCGCGATCTCAGCTCACTGCAACCTCTGCCTCTTGGGTTCAAGCGATTCTCCTGCCTCAGCCTCCTGAGTAGCTGGGATTATAGATGCGCACCACCATACCTGGCTAATTTTTTGTATTTTTAGTAGAAATGGGGTTTCACCATGTTAGCCAGGCTGCTCTCAAACACCTGACCTCAGATGATCTGCCTGCCTCAGCCTACCAAAGTGCTGGGATTACAGGCATGAGCCACCGTGCCTGGGCTTAGGTATTTCTTTATAGCAGTGTGAAAATGACCTAATACAGTGGGTTAATTACAGTGTAAACACAGTGATGGTAAAGTAATGGGATAATATCAGGCATCCAGGTAAATACATGATATGTGTAAGTGATATATAATATAGGTATTGAGGTTTCAGTTAGGGTTCTTTTAGTTGCATACACCAAAAGCTAGATTTCATGTAATTCAGTGCATACTGATTAAGTACCTACTAGGTGCCTTACTATGTGCCAGGCAATATGCTAGGCACTGTAAAGCAATAAAGGGAAATAAGTAACATGGTTATCGGGTACCATTTTGAACTCAGTCTTGGCAGCTGAACTTCATTCAGAAAGAAACTGAACTGGGAACCAGAAAGCTGCTGAAAAACTAGGAAATATTCTCTCTATATACTTCTCATTGTTAACTAGTTTCAGTTTTCTTCCGAGTAAATCTGTTTTCTCTGCAATATCAGCTTTTCTGAAATAAATCAGCTTTTTATGCAATAAAACTTTGATGGTAGATTAAAGGTGACCACTTACAAACTACTAAGTTTATATGTTGCTGTTACAGCCACACTGAGAGACCAACTGCTGCTGTTTCGTCTCCCTTTGATCTTTTATCTTAATTTCAAAGTCTTAGGAAAGGGATCAAGCATCCATTTTTGTCTAAACAATAGGTCAGTTAATAGGGTCATTGTGAGTTGAAAAAAATACTCCAAATGGTATCTACAGCAAGTGTCATGCATGAATTATAAAAGAAAAAACTAAAAGTTTAAGTTACTTTGCAAGTTCATGTGTGTAGTGAGTGCCAGAAACAGGATTCAAATTCTAGGGTTGTGCAAGTGTAGGGTCACCATACGAAAGTATATGCCTGCTTAAATTTTGCATCTTAGGATTTTTGCTTGCCTCACCTTAGTCCCAGTTTTCCTAATGCTTAATAGTTCTTTTTGCTATACATGCATCCCCGTACTAAAAGTTGGCACCTTCACAACTTTGAAAGAATGCAATGTTAAAAAAACAAAGTTTAAAACATTCAGACAGTAAAATTTTTTTGCAAAGAGAAACATTATATAATTATATATGGTCTTATTGAGTTTGTATATTGTTAAACAGTTTACCTCCCATGAGATTCTACTGAAAGCAGAAACTTACCTTCCCATTCTGTTGGAATATCCCCTGGTTCATAGTCTACTTCTTTTTTTTTTGCTGCTTCTACAATTCTTTTCTCTCGAATAGTTTGTCCTATAAGACAAAAGTCATTAATACATTTTTAAATCTATGCTACAGTAGTTACTGTAATTAATCCTTTAATATTGCATAACCCCTTATTTGGTTAAATAATTAAATTAACAGGAGGAGAATAGATTCCATTTTGAATTAGGTATATTACAAAAGGCAAATTCTAAACTACTGCAATAATTTATAATTATCTACCACAGCGTACAAAAATTAATGGTAGGCTTGGCGCAGTGGCTCGTGCCCATAATCCCAGCAGTTTGAGAGACTGAAGTGGGTGGCTCGCCTGAGCTCAGGAGTTTGAGATCACCCTGGGCAACATGGTAAAACTCCATCTCTATTAAAATACAAAAATTAGCCAGGTATGGTGATGCACACCTGTAGTCCCAGCTACTCTACTTGGGTGCCTGAGGCAAGAGAATTGCTTGAGCCTGGGAGGCGGAGGCTACAGTGAGCTGAGATTGTGTCACTGTACTCCAGCTTGGGCTACAGAGTGAAACTCCATCTCAAAACAAACAAACAAACAAAAAAATTCTAAATTCAAAGTACAGAAAAAGAGTAACCAATCTATAGGGCACTAACAGCCAATAAAAAATATTTTAATAATCAACAGAGAGTTCAACTCCTTCTGATTTACATGTATATATCTTAAAGGTACCAATGGCTGCGGGAATCACCCAATAAAATTGATATTCATGACTGTTACTAAGTGTGTAATGGACCAAAGACCCTGCAGCCACCCTGTCCCTAATACATTGACAAACCCAAGGGAACCAAGCCATGGGTTGAATTCCGTGGCCCATTTAAATCACTGCCTCTTAAAGGAACTTAAAAGAAGAATGACAAAAATTGGTCATTGGTTTGGTTATGGCTATGGTGGATTGAAGGTTACCACTTACAAGCCACTAAGTTCATATGTTACTGTTAGAGCCACAATGAGAGGCCAACTGCTGCTGTTTTGCCTCTCTTTGATCTTTTATCTTCATTTCAAAGTCTATGGTTCTTCAGATGAGAAATTAATATCTGGAGTGGAATAGTAGCAATGTAGAAACATGAAAGCAGAGAGACAGTAAAGAAAAAGTTGGTGAGAAGTCAAGAATGGAATGAGAATGTCTAATGCTTACATTTCTCCATAATAAAGAGTTGATTAGTGCATATTTTAAGTTTATACAGAAGGCATAAAACTATTAGTTATTTTCTTCTGTTTTCAGAAAGTTTTCATTATATCTTTCAAAGCAGCTTCGTCAAAATGGTTGCTTCAAAACATGTTCCTTTCTCATTGAAACTTTGAGCCTGCAGAAACCAGGTAGGCTTTCTACTACCTACTATTTAACAAGTGTGCCTGCTTACTCCAGGGAATGTGAGCTGAGATAGAGAAGTCATCAATGAGCAATGATAAAGGGAGCAGCATGGCTTAACAGTGATCAGACCAGTCAGGGAGAGAAATTTGGACCTTACAAAATACTCCTTTCTCTTACCACTCCTAGGCCAATCTTACACTATGCTAAATATACTGACTTACACAATTAAAGAAATCAACCTTGATGCCTACAAATCTCTCTCTTGCACTACCTGATATTCTATTAACTGTAAATTCCATTAAATGTGGACAGGAAACTCCTGAGAGTGACTGTCCAGGAGAAAGAAAGACATAAGAGGAAAGCCTGAGAAGGCTGAATGGCTGGTTTTATTTCTTCCATCTTAGTAATATTAAGTGTAAGGCTGGGAGTTCATAGACAACCCACTAAGGCTAATAAACCTTAAGAATGTGGTCAGGGAAGTTCTGCATTTCATTACGAAGTCATTTAATCAGGTGGATTTAATCCTAACACAGAAGTTCCCCAAGTTCTACAAAGAGGAGTTACCTTTTGCTCATCTTACCCAATAAATTTACAGTAGGACAAGGGACTGGTAGTAAAAGTTGTAGGGACAAGGATTAGGGTAAAAGGAGCCTATAACAATAACAACTGCATTTCTCTCATAGTAGAGGCTCAATATATGTACATGTATTTTTACTAAAACACTATTCACATTCACATATATAAATACATCATAACAAGTTACTATAAATTTAGTATTTGTAATTTAGCACACATTAAATTATGCTTATATGACAATTTTCAAAATGTGTTAGTCAAATACCTATGTTTTCATATAGTCCTTATCTAATTACCAAAATGTAAGAATATCTTTTTGGAGTAACAGTTATAGAGAGGAAAACTATTGTCTAAAATAAAAATTCAAATACATGGGATCCTCAAAGTACATGTGTGATCTATAAGTTTTTAAATGTACATCAATAAAGTTTAGCACATGGGAAGAGGACAGACAGGTCTATAGTTCTCAGTAGCACTACTAAATGCATATATATAACAGGCATATCTGCAACAAAACAAATTAACATTTCATTCCTACTTTTAGGTCTATCAACTTCATGTAAGGCCTCCCAAGGATTTAAATCAAAAGTTATACGTGTGTGTGTGTGTGTGTGTGTGTGTGTGTGTGTGTATGTGTGTGCGTATGGAAAGGCAGGAAGAGTAATTAATGAGCTAGTTTAATTTCAGGACAATCACTAAGTAAATCTTTGTTTAGAAATATGTAACATCAAAGATGTGTTTTTAAAAGTATACATCTTTAGAAATGTAAAATAAAGCTATTAGCTTATTAAATAAATTCTTTGTAATCAGACATGTTTATCTCCTCAATAAATTACTGTAAAACTATTCCTTTTGGAATAAATGCTACTTGTATAATTTTTATGAACTAGGAATGGAATTTATGTCTCCCACTGAATAAGGAATTATGCACAAATTGTGCACTTACTGATACTAATATGGTTACATGCAATATTTAAAAAGACAATCCTTAACATAGCAAAAAATTTCCATCCTCATGAATATAGCAAATTTAGGTACCTGCTCAAGTATCAAAATTTTAGGATCTGATTTACATTTAAAAATTAACTTGGTAACAAAAACATTTAATCCAATATATGTGTAGGTTCAGTAAGTCCTAATACAACAAAATAATTGACATTGGTAGACTCAATGAGTATTATTAAGTAAAATAATGCATAGTCGTTTTATTTAATACTAAACAATATTATATTTAATTGAAACACAGTGAATTCAGGAAGGTGGTAATGGTCAACAATCTATGGATTTAAAGACCATAGATATAACAGTATATTTTTCCAAACTTTAAAAACTTTAAAGCTAGCTGATGTCGAGTCAATTGTCCTAGGAGAATAGCAGATTTCCTTTTTCTTTGTTTAGAAAAATATGGAGCCCATTCAGTTTTTTTTAAAAAAAGAAAGAAAAAATAATAAAAGGCGAGATCCTGAGGCATATCATAGATGACAACGGTTTAGGTCAAAGACAGATTTCACCTGTTCTACTGAACTTCTAAGGATACAGTATGAGTACCCTGGACACAGACATAGGAAGGAGACTCTAGATCAGAATCCTGAACTTCAGCCATTCAAGTACCATCTTTGCGATTTTTGCTATACCTTACAGTACTATATCTTAATATTTTTCTTTACAGTAATTTGCATTTTTCTTCAATACTCATTTTTACCTTTCCCTAAAAAATATTCATGAAATCACCGACTTAATGTATTAGTTGTATTTTTTTCTCACCCATAAAAATAGATTTAAAAAATATAAAGGGTTGTCTTTGTGTCATCTAAAGTCATCTTGTAGACCACACTTGGGAAACCACACTGCAGACCATATTGTTTGAAGAGACAGGCCCAGCCACATATATGGTGATACAAGGCATAAAACCAATATAACAAGTAGGAAATTCCTATGGGCAGGGAATGGTGTTGAATATCAAAGTCTTGCTTGGATTATGTTTACCCTTGATTTCATAAAATCCTGTAGTGTACAACAATGTTTAGTTAGGTTTGAAGGAAGAAGGGAGAGCTCCTAGATTTCCAGAGAGAGGCAGGAAAAAAAAACAACACTAACATTTATGGCAGGTTTACCATGTCCCAGACAATGAACTAAGGTTTAGCTCTGCATGATTAATTTCATTTAAGCTTTACAATGCTATGAGGTACTATTATTACTTTATTTTAATGAACCATTTATATATTTCATTTATAAAGAGGTTGAGGCTTAAAAGAACTTAAGACATTTACTTGGTAGCAAACAGAAATCAGGATTTGAACATGGGTCTTTTGACTCCAGATCCTAGACACTTAACCACTAAGACATGTTGCCAGACTTTCAGATAACTGCAAATTTTACATCTTTAAACTGAATAGATTTCAGCTGGTAAAATACAAGGGCTAAGCCAAAAAGCAAAAGTCACTGCCATTTCTTAAAAGATTAAAAAATAAACTCTTTCTTTCCAAAAAAGAAAAACGGAAAAACCAGTGCCTTTCATTAAGGTGTTTCAGAATGTAGAAAACACATCTTAAATCACTTAACTTAATCCTAATAATAGAGTCATTAAAACTTCACTGAAGAAGATTTGGAAAATATAAAAAGTAGAAAAAAATTAAAATGATCTGTGAGCACATGACCCAAAATATCATATTAACATGTTATTCTATTTCCTTTCAGTTTATTATAACTAACAGATCATAAATACACAACACATATATTTGTGCACATGTATTTATAAGATTAAGGTTGTACCTATATCCTTTTTCCTACCACATGGAAAATATGAAAATTTTCATGTTATTTTTCCATAACTTACAAAGAAAAATCAACATTCAGTTTCTGAACTTGTTCTGACATTCTGAGGAAAAAGAAATTTCTTGTAAAAATGTGTTAATAACATTTCTTTTGTTCAACTGTGTTTAAAATGTGAAGATAAAAGTAAAAAAGACTGCCTTGTTAAGCACAGGCTGTAAAGCAAATTAAAAAAATACTAAAAAGGAAAATTTATGCCAATTAAAGATATGTATCAGATACGCCATACAAAGGGAGTTTTACAAATTAAGGCAGAACTTCAAGACCAGGGGAGGAAGAAAGAGGTAAAGTATAGTG